GCTCACCACTTTAGATAGCTAACACTATCTACGATAACCAAACACAATTTGCCTCAACGATCGAGTATGATGAAGGGCAATAGACTATTGCTCCGAACGAGTTAGAAGACAGATAGCTCGTGACCAACGGTTTATAGGATGAGACCTGCAGTGGAAGGTTTACACGCGTAGCGATGCAGTGTGACTCACCGGGACAAGTGACAATTCCGCGGTTGAGCGTAAACAAGTAAGGTGCACCCGGTAAAACAAAAGCTCGTTGCGAGTAGAAAAGAAGTCGTAGGTAAAAGTGGCGTGTCACTTCACACCCTCTGCATTACATCCATATACTACTTTATCATGTACCGATCTATTGCCAGGATTTGCATACCATATTCCTTTCTTATGACATCAGCTGGTCTTGCGCTTGTGAAACACTGTGAAATTAATTTATCAAATTCCACCGCGTTCATTTCGTTCTTTCTGCTTCTCTCCATAGCGAGGACCTTAAACGCGGTAATCGACGTAAGCATCGTGATTTAGCCGTTTATCCGTGTAAACTCCGCATTCTCCCCGATATGGTGTTCAATACTCGTGCCCCAATCGTCGTTGGTGTGCACGTCGAAGCTGGTGTGGTTCGTGAAGGTACTCCTCTATGTGTGCCCAGTAGAGAGAACATCAATCTGGGACGAATTTTCTCAATTGAATTCAATCACAAACCGGTTCAAGAGGCTCGCACCGGACAAGAAGTATGCGTTCGAATTGATCCATTAGATGGTGAAACCCCGAAACTATACGGCCGACACTTCGATCACACCGATTTGATGGTATCAAAGGTAATTATATGTTTTGAATGTGTTCTTTAAGAACTAAATACTGCTAACCTCCTATTGCTTAAGAAACCGTGAAAGACGGCAAGACTCCATTGTCATATGCAGTTACTGCGTGACTGGACCAAGTAGCAACCTGATCTATGACAAAACATTTCTGATTTTCAAAACTCAAGTCAAAGTCAGATCAGTAGTAGCTTCATCCACCCGCATGGGTGGGTTTCCAGCTTTTTGCATCATATTTATGGGTATAAATTTAAAAAATCATACAAAATGAAACAAATTAGTATATATCGTCTTTACAATTAGGCAAGCAGTTACGTAATTCTGTGGAAACTTTCTCCTTGTCAACAAGTAGACGTGCTAGTTATATCAAAATAGAACTAAGATATGGAGGGGTACTTGTAAATAAAGGTTTGAACCTTGAACGTGTGAATGATGTAGATACAGCTTTTAAGTTATAAGTGATGAGTGTCTCGGAATATTTATAGACAAAAACCGACAAACGTGAAATTTTTATGACCACCACAGACTGCAAATTTATCTTTAACCACTCCACTGCATTTAGAGATCTCGCCGATAAATAAGTCTCTTTTCAGCATACCGGGGATAATAATTGGGGAACAATACAATAAGTGGAGAGCACGCATACATTCACAAGCCTAATAATCAAATTGGGAACAGAAATTATTCTTAATCGGAGTGAGAACTATGAAAGCTTATTAACTTTACAGAATGTCTTCTGAACGTGCAGTGACCATAATACATTGGGTGATAGTGTGACGCCGAGGTATTTCGCCATTATTGATGTCGGTATAGGTTCATGGTTGCTAGGAGGGTGGGAAACCTGTTTGCGAAGGTAGAATATGGTCCTTCAGCCAACAGGGAAAACATTTTGAGGTTTTCAATGAGAGGAAACGGGACAAAGAACAACTAAAATCGTCCTTTAGTTTACTTCAAATTTCTGAAGCCTCTTTAGGTGTGATTGCTTTGCATCCTACGACATCGTCTATGTATTTACAGTCAGTAAATGTAGAAATGGGATATACGTTGAAAAGAAAAAAACAGAGGAAAATTGCACCTTGTAGAACACCAGGAGTAACGGAGCGAGTAGAAGAATTTTTGTCGTTCAGGCACGTGAACCGTATTTGTGAACTAATCGCGGATTAACCTGCCAACGTTTGGATTGAAACCACTCTCGGTAATCAGGTTGGGAACTACCGATGAATGAAGACCGCCGAATGCAATTTATGTAGTCGAACACCACCCTGACAGTCTTGCATTTCCTATCTAGAGCCGAAGGTATTGAGTGGGCAAGTTAAACAACGACTTCAAGTGTTTAACGCGAAGGACAAAATACAAATTGATGTATGTGGTCTTCGGTGACAATTCACGGTAGGAAGCATCTCTCAAATAATGTGATAATGATTGACGTGCAAGCGATGTGACGGTACTTCTCAGGTTCATTTTTGGTAGATGGGAGTTATCTTGGCCACTCTCCAGATATCAGGAATATTTGCGCTTATCAGACAAATATTGGATCTTAGATAGGGGGACTAAATGAGTGTCCGCGCACACTTTGAGTACCACGAGTCATAGTACATCCACACCAGATACTTTATCCGTCTGCGTTTTCCGTAGCTGTCAGAGGACCGCGGCGGGTTTAATGGGAGGTGGTGGTGTAGCGCTGTGCACTGTGAAACTGGACTAATCTCGGAATTAAGTCTCTCGACAGCGAAAGTTCCCCTTTCGTGTTTATTGGTACTGTCACACAGGCGATTGATAGCTATCCACATGTGATGACAACTGAAGTTTCCCAGGACAGTGTCTGTGTACAATTTATTTAATGTTCGTGCTATGATGGAGGTAGAATATCAGAAAACCTATTGATGCCAGATACTGTACTTGTACTGTTGAAGATGTCATTTCTGGTTCGTTTGTTTTTCTCTACAGATCAGTCGCGAAAGTATCGATATTATGAAAGAACACTTCCGCTCCGATTTGACAAAGGAAGATTGGAAATTAATGCAAGAATTGAAAAAACTGTTCGACATAATTTAGATCCAAACTTGGTTTGTCCACCGTTCCTTCTGCTCCTGGTTTCGATCTTCACGATGTACATTTTGAAAAGTTCGTTCGGTATATTTGTGATTTTTCAAATAAACCGCACTAAAACGAATTCACAATCCCAGAATTTCCCTTGCCATTGTCCCAATGGACGCGGACTTTTTGACTTTGATATCCCATATGTAGACTCCCTTTTATCTGCTAACCTGCATTCCCGAATTTGGAGGATGTTCTGGGTGTTCAAAATGAAATAAAGTCACTTTCGGAAAACAGTCTTCCTTCCAAATAGTGTTTCGGAATTTCTCAGCTTCTCGAAGTAATTTTCACCTTAGAAAAGCAATCTGTTTCAGTTCAGTCATCGGAATTGCTTGCTTGTGAGGCATTATCGGTTCATGTGAGACGCATATAGTTATTTTCTCTAATTTATCATGGGCGATTTCCTTCGCATAAGGTAACCATTACAATCCGATGATTAATCGCAACAAACAGCACTCAGTTTTGTTTTAATAGCACTTTTCTCCGAATTAAGGCGTATTTTTCAGAACGCCCTCATGCTATTGCCTAAATTAGTATGTGCAAATGTTTTGAATGATAGAATAAAACCAATTCGTTAATGGCGTAGCCATCCGTGAGGAACTCAAATCGCAGATTGATGAGCATTTGGGTCGGGCATCATATGAACGTGATTCGGGATGAGCTGTCATGCATCGGTACGTGTTGTTTGTTTGTTGTTTTTATGCTGATTCTGAAAAGATCGGCAGCATCGATGCA